CATATCAGAAATCACTAAAATGCGAAGCATCCCAAAGTTTCATGTCCCAAATGAAGAGGAAGATGCTGCTGAGACCCATCCATGAAGTACCTTGTGCCTTAAAAGCAGGGTGGGAATCGGGCTGGCCCGGTGGCGCACTGGAGAGTCCCGCCGAGGGTTCGGATTCATTTTACAGGTGAGAAAACTAAGGTCCAGAGAGGAGATTCGAGCTGCTTATGTGACACATTTAGAGGCAGATCCAGGATCAGGACCAAGTGCAGTCTCTTTCCAGGTCTCCTAGGTGTCCCCTTAGTGCTCCCATTGTTATCAAAAAACAAGCAGAAAAATTTACACGTGCTCTTAAGCAAACAAGCCCAACAGCTCACCCAAGCTCAGAGCTTGACCTCAGGCTCTCTCTAATAATATCTTGTACTTAATAGGGCAAATTTTTGCTCATCTGGGGTAATTTTTTCCTGCTTTTTATCCTGGCCATCTCATGGAGTTGTTTGGTGCCCTGAGACATGCCTCAGAGGATTTTAATGCAATGCGCAAACAAGCAGGAAGAATTAACTAATTCATCTTATAAATTAATGTAGTGAGATAAGCAGTGACTCGCCTGGGCTCTTATTTCCTAATTGGATTTTGTGTATATATAATCCTGATGTCTTTACCCAAAGATAAGTCTGGTGAGCTGAGCTGCAGTCACCGCATTGTGCCCTAGCCCCTATCATGTGATCATGTGGTGACCTCCCCACCCCCACCCCCACACACAGAGGCAACCCCAAGGAGGTAGATTCCCAGGTCCCCATTGAAGTCAGATGGGGCAGGTAGTGAGTCTTGTCTGAAAGATGCTGGTGTAACCAAGAGGCTTTTTCTAGACCTGTGCTTAAATTTGAGAATACTTCTTAACAGACCTGAAGAGAGATGTTTTAGTTATGTTCTAGGGGAATTATAAATATGACACTTTCTTTTATTTTTTTCATTTAAACAATACCTTTTTTTAATGCCTTTGATTGTGGTAAAAACACTGTTGAAGGTAGAAAGGGCAATTTAACTCTTCCAGGTGGTGCTTTTTACTTAGTAAAACAGGAGCATTTGCTGTTAGGACTCCAATGATAGCAGAGTAGGAACATTAGAAGGTGGTGTAGACATTCCCTGTACAGGCCTTATGATGGGTTGAAGTTTCATTTTTGGTTTAAATTATTCATGTAGAAGTGTTTAATTGCGTATTTTGTTAAGTTGATGGGGCTTTTTTTTTAACTTACCTAAAACAGTGTTTTTCTGAACAAAACCCTACCAGAGTGGAAGGGGAACCTGGAATTTCTTTTCTGTGCAGTGCTCACGAAGAGACACTTTTTTTATTGAATGGTGTAAGTGGGTCATTAATTCATGCGGACTCAGGAGTACAGGTCTCAGGATGGCAGGAAAAGCAGCCTCCAGGCCACCCTTACCCATCTTAGCCACCCTGCTTTCTAGCTTGTGCCAGCCGGCAGCGTCATTTTTTAGTCTACCCCGCACTCAGAACATGAATCTTGGCCCTATCTCTCCTCCTGTCCTGCCACCCAGGGAGGCCTGTCCCCTCCTCCTCCTCCTGCTCTGCTTGGACCCTGCCTTCCCTTCCATGTCCTCTTCCCTTGCTCCCTCATGCTCATCCCTGATTTCTCCCCTCCCTTCCTGACGTGTCCTGCTTTCTCCTCCTCAGTTTCCCTGTTTTGCTGAGGCCTCACTGGTTGTGATGGTCAGCAGCTCTCAGCATGGTACACGTTGGGTCCTCACTTCCAGCTCAGCCCCCTGGGCCTCCAGCCTAATCTCAGCTCAGCACTTATCTTCAGGCCTCCTCCAACTGCCGCTCTGACTCCACCACCCTTCCTCCAGTGGCCACATGCTTTCCTCCACTGACCCGCACGTGGCATTTGAGAGACCCGGGTTGATATTGGCTCCAGGAAGCAGTCTCTCCTGTCACAGTCCCTTGCACAGACAGGGTTATTCCTTCTTCCTCCCTCCTTCCTTTCTTCTTTCTCTTTAACTGCGGTGCAAAACATACTCAGTGAGATGCATGAGATGCACAGCTCTTGGCAGACTGGATCCAGTGGCTTCGGGATCCAGGGGCTTTTCTGAGGAGGAGCCAAGCTTCAGTGAGGCCAATCTAAGGATTGCAGGCCCTGGAAGGGTTTGGCTGCAGGGGGTGGTGGGGTTGACAGCTCTCACCTGCTAGAGCTGGATAGTATGGGTAGGCTGTGGCAGCGTAGGGGCAGAATGGGGGTTCCAGGAAAGTGTCTGTATAGCTTGATAGATTTTTACATAGGTATACACCTATTTACCACCAACCAGAAGAAGTATTTCCACCACCTCAGAAGGTTCTTTCAAGACCCTTCTTGACCACTACCATCTCCTCCAGATGTGACCACCATTCTGACTTTTGTCACCGTCGATGAACCTTGTCCTTCACTTTTGATTCCTTTCACATTTTGGAGGCTGAAGAGCATAAACTTGCACCTGGTAAGGGAGCCAGCTCAGTTTGTTGTGGGCCTTCTGGGCAGCTGTCTTGATGTCCTCTTATAAAACCTCACAACATTTCTGCAGGGCAGGTGTTGCTAGCTCTGTTTCCTAGAAAAGGAAATGAAGGGCTTACAGAGGTTAAGAGAATTGTTCAAGCTCACGGAACTGTTACTAATAGAAGCAAGAATGGAAGTTGAATCTTATCTAGGCTAGTAGGTTGGCCTCGACCCTAGAAAGCCCATGTGTTTGCCCCATACCTCAGGGCCTCCCAGACATTCCAGGTAATTTTGCTTCTTGCTTGTTTCATGCATCCTAAGCCATCTTATAAGCCCCTTGTTGGCAGGAGGGGACTGTGCCTTGCTGGGTTGGTAACCCCAGAGGACACATCAGCAGTGACAAGATGCTCACCCAGGAGTCATCAGTGGGGTCAAGGGCTTGCTAACTGCTTGGCTTGGCTCTAGAGCGTGCAGTTGGCTGAGGCTTTTGTGCGTGGCTGGGAAGAAACAGCCAGCTCCCCAGGCAGGCAGCAGAGATGACCTCGCAGGACTTATGCAGGCCCTGATTTGGGCTGAAAGGAAGGGGGTGCTCCAGAGAGTGGACAGAGTGCCCCGAAGTGTGTTATGACTCAACACTGAGTAGCAGAGGGTTTCTTCAGCACCTCTTCTGGATGTGAGGCCTGGACCCACTCCCTGCTCTTGGGTGACCTGAGAGTTAAGCAGGCTAAAATAATGCCACCACGCTGAGCACGTGGGTATTCTAATCTGAGAATGCCTGTCTGCCTGTGTCCCCAAGGACACAGCGACACCCTTGCCCTCCCTGTGTGCTGCAGGCCCTCCACGGGACAGGGTCTCATCAGGAGGGAGGCAGTTGATGGGCCTGAAAGGACTGAATTCCAGGGGCAGCCACCTGGTACCCATGCCTGCACACAAATGGAAACATCACAGAGTTAATGGTCTATTCACTGAAAATGCAAATCAGCCCTTAGTGTCTGTCCTTACTTTTGACTGATTTTGTGGCAGTAGAAACTGTACCCTGCAAGCTCATAGATTCTTAGCCTTTGGTATTTGTTTGCTGTTCAGAGAAGGCCTCCTTAAGGAGGGATCATTCTCCTTAATAGTTGACCTACTCAGTACTCAGTTTTGTAGCAGTGACACAGATCAGTAGTTCCCCTTCTCTGTTGAAGGACCCGCCAGTGCTCAGGAGACAGGATTTCTGTTGGGTAGCCCCTGCTTGGTGAGAGATGGCATTGGCCAGTGAGTGACTGGCCAGCCTCTCTTGAAATAAGATCTTTCCCTGTGGTACTTCTGGAACTTGGCCTTCTCAAGGGTCCCAAAATAGCTAGGACTGAAGGGTGAACTTCATGAGAGGACATAAGAGAGGGACCCCTCACTTGAGCAGGCTTTGTTGAGGTAAAGACAAAGTTGTTCATAGCCCTTGTTAAGGCATGGTTAAGGCAGACTTTATTCCAGACCATCACGGTAGGTATCGGGACCACTGCAATAGGGTCTTACAGTGGGGGAGAGATATTGGCCTCAAATCTGAATACACTATGGGCAAGTGGGGATTTATAGCCAAGGAGCAGGGTGGGGTCAGTGGATGGAAAATCACTAAGAGGAATGTCAGGGATAAGGGGGATTCTGGCTAAACTGACCCAAGTGGATTCTTGCTGGAGACAGGACAAAGTGATCACACATCACCTGGGGATGATGGACGATGAGGAACCTGATCAGATGTTGAAGATGATCAGATATTGGCATTCTTCTTAAAGTGACTTAGCAGGGTTCTTTTGCTAAAACTGGGTTTACAAAGAAGTGCACAAATGCGCCTAGGGGAAGTTTAAAAGTCTGACTGAAGTTTGGCCAAGCAAAGAACCTTTGTTAGCTGGCATCATAAGACTAGCACAGTTAATCTTTGGGCTTTGTTCTATGCTGCTTCTGCATTCCTTGTGTATCTTCCTTTCTTGCAACTTGTTCTAACAATATTCCTTAACTTTTCACTCCCATCTTACTTCTCTGTAAAGATTTCCAAACTGTGTTTTGTGTTTAGGCCCAGTACAAACTCTGTATTGTTGGGAAATTTGGGACCTTTCTGAAAGCAGAGAAGTTTGCCGTAATTCAGTAGTCATAAATGAGTCCTCCTCCTTGGGGTCACCTTCTGATCTGAGTCTCTGAAGATTTGGGAGACAGCTTCTGCTGCCCTTTATTACCCGGAAAAGAAACCTGTCTGACCAGTTTGGGAAATTGGGGCTTCTCATGTATTCAGCAGATACCTTGGCTCACCTGCTTTCCCCTGAGGCCCCTAATTCTTAAAACTGCTGGCCAGACAGCAGCCTCTGAGAGGAGGGGATGCTTGCCAGAAGCAGGGGGCTCTGGAGCAGCTGGGTTCCCTGTGCTCAGCCGATCTTGCTGACACTTTGGGTCCCAAATCACTCTGGAAGGTCAGAGCACTCTGCACCGCACTGTTCTTCAGAGGTGTTTTTCTCCCAGTTTCTAACCAGTCTGTGTTTTTCCTCTTTGTTTTAGGAAACTCCATCCTCTGCCAATGGCCCTTCCCGGGAGGGCTCCAGGCTGCTACCCACTAGGGAAGGCCACCCTGTGTACCCCCAGCTCCGACCTGGCTACATTCCCATTCCCGTGCTCCACGAAGGCACAGAGAACCGGCAGCTGCGACCTGTCCATGCCTATCTGCAGCCCGGGATGCCACGTTTCCGAACCGAGGCGGCAGCAGCAGCTCCTCAGAGGTCCCAGTCACCTCTGCGGGGCATGCCAGAAGCCACGCAGCCAGATAAACAGTGTGGACAGGTGGCAGCAGCTGCAGCAGCCCAGCCCGCAGCCTCCCACGGACCTGAGGTAAGGAGAGGCCTGGCCCACAGGTCTGTTGGGGAGCAACCTGGCCCCAGACCCTGAGGCCAGCGCCCTGGGCCAGGCACCTGTTAATGTGCAGGGCCTGGCTTGCGGCATCAGAGGTCACCCAGCAAAGACAGGTTGACAGCCCCATATTGTCCCCTAGCGTTTCATTGATATGCTTTTCAGGTGGGCATCACATCATTTATTTTTGTAGTTGAGGAACTTGGGCTCAGAAAGGTCAACTGTAAACTGACAACTGTAAACTGTAAACTGCTTGATCCTCCACAGAGGTGGAGGTGGCAGAGCTGGGACCGGAAGCCTAGCCTCTGGCTCGTAATCCCAGTGCTGCTTATTCTCTCTGGGATTTCTGTCTCAGAAGCACAGAGATAATAGCTAGGTATCGTTTTGCTCAGTTCAGTACTTACGACTGAGTAGTAGCTGCTTGGAGCTATGTTGATATGAAAATGAGACCCCTTAGCTGCCCTCACAGTGTCCCATGGTTTAGAAGGAAATTCAGAATAAGGAGTCAGGAAGGCAGCTGCTGTAAGAAGGTTTTAATCCTGAAGCCAAACACTTCAGGGTATGCCGAGGGATTTAGTGCATTAATAGCTAAAAAATAGTTCTTACTGTGGTTCTTAGTTGAGATTTGAGGGCTAGTAGACCCTGATAGAATTCCTGAGCAGTAAGCCCTCTCCGTCTTCCTGTCTGCAGATCATCCCGTCGTGTCCACTAGCATCGATCCTGTGTACAAATTCTCATTTCCTATCTGTTCCCAGAGTCGCCGTTGCCTCTCAGCTCTGTTCCTAATTAATCTGTTTAGTTTTACTGCTTGGGGGTGAAAAGTTATAGTTAATGTTGATACCAGGAGGCTTTTCTTCTTTCTTGGAGAAGTAGTACCTAGATTTGTAGTGTTTCTGCTGTAAAAAATCAAAATGATAGAGCCGAGCCCGTGGCGCACTCAGGAGAGTGCGGCGCTGGGAGCTCCCGCCGCAGGTTCGGATCCTATATAGGGATGGCTGGGGCACTCACTGGCTGAGCACAGTGCGGCCGGTCTCAAAAAGGACAAAAAAAAAAAAATCAAAATGATAAATCAGTCAGAAATCTTAGCAAATTTAACTGAACAAGGCCCTTAGAAGCCAGCTGGGGAAATGTCTTCCTCATTTTCTAGGTAAATAGGTGGTGGCCCGGAAGGAAAAGGGGCCTGGCCTGCCTCGGGCACCCAGCGGGCACATGCAGCTCCCAGGTGCTCAGCCGAATTATCTGTAGATTGGCAGAGAAAGGGTTAAGAAAAGAGAAAATGAGATGACGTGTAATAAAAAATACAGTGTACTGAGCACTTCCTGTGTGTTGGACTCATGCCGAGGCATATTCACAGATGATTTTAATTTTCAAAACAGCCCAGTGAGGGCGGGGGCACTCTCTCCCTGTATTTCAGGTGAGGCTTAGAAAGCTGTTGAGCTACTAAGAATTTGACCGTAGGCCTTTAGACACCCAGCTCTCAGCCTTAACACTACGTTTTGAAAATTGAAAGGTTTACCGATGGGAGGTCTTAGGAAATGTGTTAGCCCGCCAGGTACACAATGGAAGGCGTAGTTGAAGTGCCCAGGCAGAAGGGTGTTCATGGGCCACGCCCTCTACCCTTTGTCTCTTGCAGCGGTCCCAGTCTCCAGCAGCCTCTGACTGCTCATCCTCATCCTCCTCAGCCAGCCTGCCCTCCTCTGGCAGGAGCAGCCTGGGCAGTCACCAGCTCCCCCGGGGCTACATCCCTATCCCAGTGATACACGAGCAGAATATCACCCGGCCAGCAGCCCAGCCCTCCTTCCACCAAGCCCAGAAGACCCACTATCCAGCTCAGCAGAGTGAATACCAGACCCACCAGCCTGTGTACCACAAGATCCAGGGGGATGACTGGGAGCCCCGGCCCCTGCGGTCAGCATCCCCATTCAGATCTCCCGTCCGGGGTGCATCAAGCCGAGAGGGCTCACCAGCCAGAAGCAGCACGCCGGTGCATTCTCCATCGCCCATCCGTGTGCACACTGTGGTCGACAGGTCTCAGGTATGGGAAGTTGGTTGTTGGCAAACTGGCTACAGTGGCATTTCTCCAGGGACCGAAGAGCACTGTGCAGGTGCCCTGAGTCCCGCCATCAGCCCTGCCTCATTAACATATGTGTAACTGGAGGAAAGTGAGATTCTGGAAATTGCTGGTTGACAACAGAAAGGCAGGACAAGGGCTGTGAACCCCTCAGCACTTTCTGTAGCTTTTGCTTAGCTGATCACTTTTCCTTAGAGGCTGAGGAAGCAGCTGGGCAGAACTAATGCTGGCACTCATGCACCTGGGACCAGGTTCCATAGCACCCACCACACCCCAGCTGCCACCTCTTCTCTGGTCTCCTAGCCAGCTCGTCTCCCTCCTCTCCATTCTGCAAGCCAAGCCTGTCTTGTCCCTTCCATGAAGCCTACTCATCTTTCTCACAGTGCCTTGCTTGAGTCTTTTATAGTTCAGCATGTGATTACTCTGTGCATTTCAAAAGCATTCATCTTATCTCTTCAGCTTCTCTTATACCTTTCTCCTCTCTTTGCAGTAGGGTACCATGTTGCCCAGCTGATGCATCAGCTGACTGTGGTAGATGGGAAACCGTCCTGGCTTAGGGAAGGTCATGAGCAAGACCTGCTCATCATCTAGTGGAGACATGGGGCACTGGTACCCAGGGGAGGAGAAGGTCATTTAGTTTGAGCAATTTGTAGTTTAGCAGCAAAACATTCAGCAGCCCTGGGCCCCCTCTGGCTGCAACTTGAGCAGCCTAATTAATTCGTTTTCACAGTTTTTAAGAGGAAAGCCGCCTGTGAACAAATGTGGGTTGTCCTTTTACGCCAAATGGTGACACTGTCCAGCACCCTGGAACACAGCACCCTTCTTTCAAAATTTTTTTAGCTTTTTTATTTGGAAATAATTTAAGCTTTACAGGAGAGTTGTAAGAGTCATACAGAGGAGCCCCACATACCTTTTACCCCAAAGCTCCAGTTAACATTTTGCTGCATTTGCTTTGTCATTTCTTCACTATATACAGATGTTCCCCCACCTGTGATGGGACTGTGTCCTAATAAACCCATCATCATAAGTTGAAAATGTTGTAAGTTGAAAATGCATTTAATACACCCAACCTGTCAAGCATCATAGCTTAGCCCAGCCTACCTTAAATCTGCTCAGAACACTTTCACCAGCCTACAGCTGGGCAAAATCATCTGGCAAAACAGTACACTGTAGACTACCTGTTTACCCACATGATCGTGTGGCTGGCTGGGAGCTGCAGCTCGCTGCCGCTGCCCAGCGTCACAAGAGAGTATCATACTGCATGTCACTAGCCCAGAAAAAGATCAAAATGTGGAGTGTGATTTATACTGAATGCGTGTCATTTTTGCACCATCATAAAGTTGAAAAGTCGTAATTCAAACCATCATAAGTCAGGGACCACCTGTATATTGTCTGTGTCTTTTAACTCTGAGACTTAGTTGCAGACATCATGCCCTTTATCCCTAAATATGCCAGCAAATATTTTACTAAGAAAAAGACATTGTTGTTCTCACTCATAACCACAGTAGAATTATCAGATTTAGGAAATTTAATATTCTTAATACTATTTTCCAGTACACAGACCATTTTCAGTCTCCTTTACAGCAGTTTTCCCCCATTCCTGGATCTACTCCAGGATCATGAGCACTGCATTTAGATGTCACTTCTCTTCAGTCTCCTTCAGTCTGGGACAGTATCTCGGTCTTTTTTTGCTTGCATGGCCTTGGCATTTTTGATGTGCACAGACCATAGGAAACTTATGTGTTTCTAGAGTCACTTCTTACACAGCCGTTGTTTTAAAACCCAAGGAGGGGCACATGGTTGGTTTATGAGTGGTAAGGGCCAAAGTTGAGGTGTCTGGATTGGCAGAAGAGATTGAATGGACAAGGAAGTTAAGTGTCACACCAGATCCATACTCAGCCTCAATAACAAATCAACTGTAGGAATGAAATGCCTACTTGTGGAGATAGACATTCCAACATCTTTCCCATATATTTCCCATAATTGGTGAAACAGTAGTTAATCCTATTTTCACCCCCTTTTAACCTTGTTCATGGTGATCTCCCTCTTATAGGGAGGTCAAAGTTCCCTTTTGGGGGGCTTTCATGGACTTTATCTAACTGAACATTGTAATGAAATTTAGTATTTTAAATTGGGGGTACTTTAGAAGTATTGTACTCCAACTCATATTCCCCAGTTGATGAAATTAGGGTATGTGAGATTTCTAAAAAGGTTTTAGATATTCACTTATGTGCTAGAAGAGCCAAGATATTTCTGTTTTGAGCATAGTTCTTTTTAAAAAACATGGCTGTAGCTTACAGTCACATGAAAAACTACAGCCAGAGGTCAGTGCGGAGATCCTGCTTCATAGTTGAATGGTAGGCTCTGGCAAAAATGTGCTGAAGCAAAATTCTAATAGTTGACTATTTTGAGCATCTTATTCTCAAAAAACACATCAGTCTGTGCAGAAACCTGTCATAGGTTTAAAAAAAAAGGAAGAAGATTGTATCTTTTCTAAAACAGGAGATGAGAAGGTCACATGGGAGCAGAGACTATCTTACAGCTCCAGGAGGGAGGACCAGTGGCAGGACTGATGGCTGCATCACCTGAGCATTGGAATCTCTCAGGGCTCTGCTCCGAGCTAACCTAGCTCAGCAGTGAGCAAGAGTTTTTTGCTGTTTTCACTGTTGAATATTACATTGGTTTTCTTTTCATTGCCATAAGAGTACCATCTACAGAGAAATTTGGTGAGAGATAACGAATAGCCCGAGGTGATCAATGGAAGCCTAACAAATGGTTTGGTCACATACACGATTAATACTGTGTTTTTATTTTGTAACAACTGTTGGTTGACTTTGAAAATCTTTTATCCTGTTAAACTTAAAAAAAAAGCCTTTTCCCAGTTTTCTTTCTAATCGGTATTATCTACAAACTGCCTGTGACTTTCAGCCAGTTATTAAAACTATCTTTGTGTCCTTTTCTCTTTTTCTCAGCAGCCCATGACCCATCAAGAATCTGCACCTGTTCCCCAATCTGAAAACAAACCAGAAAGTAAGCCAGGCCCAGTTGGACCAGATCTCCTTCCTGGACACATCCCAATTCAAGTGGTTCGCAAGGAGGTGGATTCTAAACCTGTTTCCCAAAAACCCCCGCCTCCCTCTGAGAAAGTGGAAGTAAAGGTTCTGCCTGCTCCAGTTCCTTGTCCTTCTCCCAGCTCTGTCCCTTCTACTGTCCCCTCTTCCCCCAAGAATTTGGCTGTAGAAGAGAGGGCAGCCCCCAGCTCTGCTCCTGCAGAAGCTACTCTCCCAAAACCTGGAGAAGCTGAGGCCCCCCCAAAACATCCAGGTGTGCTGAAAGTAGAAGCCATCCTGGAAAAGGTGCAGGGGCTGGAGCAGGCTGTAGACAACTTCGAAGGCAAGAAGACTGACAAAAAGTACCTGATGATCGAAGAGTATTTGACCAAAGAGCTGCTGGCTCTGGATTCAGTGGACCCCGAAGGACGAGCTGATGTGCGTCAGGCCAGGAGAGACGGTGTCAGGAAGGTTCAGACCATCTTGGAAAAACTTGAACAGAAAGCAATCGATGTCCCAGGTCAAGTCCAGGTTTATGAACTCCAGCCCAGCAACCTTGAGACCGATCAGCCACTGCAGGCAATCATAGAGATGGGTGCTGTGGCTGTAGAAGAGGGAAAGAAAGATACCAGAAATGGAGGAGATCCCCAAACAGAAACCCAGCAGCCAGAAGCCAAAGCAGCAGCTCCAAACCCCAGCAGCACGACAGACCCAGCTGGTAACCCAGCAGCACCATAGACTCCGCTCAATAAAAATCAGACTTGGATACTGGGAAAGGATTGTGTGCTTTAGGGAATTTTAAGTTGCATGCATTTCAGGGACTTTAAGTCAATTGGTTTTTATTACTTGTAGCCGCTTGGTACGCAGTAACTTGGGTGGAGGCAAAACACTAATAAAAAGGGCTAAAGGGAAAATGATGCTTTTCTTCTGTATTCTGTACTAGTAAAGAAATTGCTTGTTGTTTCAGAAGTTTAATCCCATTGCTTGTTTTGGAGCCCTTTCTATGCGTGGGCACCACACCTTGGCCGTGGTTGTAGACAGAAAGCTATCTTCCTGCAGCTCTGGACTGAAGGAGTTCTTTTAGGGGGTAGATGGGGAGTCAATTTCCCATAACATAAATATGAAAAACATTTTTCAGAAATGTTGCCATTTCAATGGGATGATTGTCTTCATCTCATAGTTAAAATACGTAACTTTAGCTAGAATAAAATGTATAAGGAACCATAGGAATCTGTATGTTGGATGACTTTAATGCTACATTTTAAAAAAAGGAAAATAAAGTAATATAACTCAATGTGTTTTGTGGTTTCTAAAGCTTTGAAAAGACTGACAGCATCAAGATTGTCCCTGGCTTCAGTCAAAATAAACGAAGGACGTATTTACAAGCCTGCTCTGGGATTCATAATGTCTATCTGCTGGACTGACACATGAGGGAATTGTCTTGGTCACTTTTCAGTGGCAAATTACAGCTGAAACCTGGGAAGACTCAGGGCTGTGAACTCAGGTAATGGGAATGTGCCTGCCACACCCCTTCTGACTGCGCCAGCCAGCAGCTGAGGTGCCACCTGGGCAACATTTCTGCCCACCTGGCCTCGGGCCACTCTTGGACCTCACCAAGAGGCTGAGCTAGTTCAAAAGGGCACAGGGAAGTCAGTTCCTACCGTTGCCCAAGGCCGGCTGAAGTGTTCCATGGAGTCCAGGTCACTGGGGGTTGGGGATGTGCTCTGAAAGTCTTGGGGTCATCTGTATCTGACATCTTTCTGAGCCACCAAACCAGACTGGGACCAGGTTTATCTTCCCAGATTGGGTTCCTAGAAGCATCTGGGGTCATGTACCAGATGCACTCAGAAGCCACTGGGTAGAAGAAAATTATTCTTTCTGTTGGGAAGGACCACAGCTCCAGAATGTAGAAATGTGCTAGATTTTGTGTTTTTTAACTACTTTCCAAATAAAGTGAAAGGGGAGAAGGACCTGAGACTTTGGAGTTCCCAGTGAGCATGCTGACTCAAGAGCCCCCAGCTAAATTTCTCATGACTGTATTGAGGGTAATATTGGTGCCTGACGATGCTGCACAAAAATACACACTGGTGTACTTGCCACTCTTAGCTTGCTGAGAAAGGCTGAAGTCATTCAGATGGGAGTCTGCCAACATCATTCCTGGGTGAACTCATTTGGGAAATAGAAGCCGACATGCCACTGATTCTAGAAACTTCAACGTGTAAATAGGAAAAAAAAAAAAAATACTGGACTATTTTTAAAATGAACCCAAGAGAAAGAATGTGACCACTTCTTTTGGAACCTGGGCATCTATTCTCAATGGACTTCAAACAACAATGAGGCTCCTTGAGTGGTTCCTGAGTTTAGTTGATATTCTTATCACTAAATATCAATAAAGAGCTCTTTCTTGTAGTTAGAATATTTTCAGTCATCTGAATTGGATGTAATGCGGACATCAGGACAGGAGTTACCTGGCCTGTGTTGGTCCCTGGGCCTTGTGTGGGGGCTGGCCATAGGGCTGGCTGCCAACATAATTGTCTTGGCCCCTGTAGAAGTTGGGGGATAGATACCTACTGAGTACCAAGTGTCAAGAGGGTTTTGGCTTATTTAATCATCTCAATACCTTTTAGAGAACATCATAGTTAAGAATACAGGCTTAGGGCTGACCCCCTCGTGCACTCAGGAGAGTGCAGCGCTGGGAGCTCACTGGCGCTCCCCACCGTGGGTTCGGATCCTATATAAGGATGGCCGGTGCGCTCACTGGCTGAGCACAGTGCAGACAGCACCAAGCCAAGGGTTGCGATCCCCTTACCGGTCACAAGACAAAAAAAAAAAAAAAAAAAAAAAAAAAAGTTAAGAATACAGGCTTAGGGCTGACCCCCTCGTGCACTCAGGAGAGTGCAGCGCTGGGAGCTCACTGGCGCTCCCCACCGTGGGTTCGGATCCTATATAAGGATGGCCGGTGCGCTCACTGGCTGAGCACAGTGCAGACAGCACCAAGCCAAGGGTTGCGATCCCCTTACCGGTCACAAGACAAAAAAAAAAAAAAAAAAAAACAGGCTTGAATCAGAACTCCCGGGTTCGAATCACAGCTTTACCGTGTAATAGCTTTGAGATAATTGGCAGGTCACACAGCCTTTTGCTTTCTGGATTCTTCACCTGTAAAGTGGAGAAAAATGATTAAATGGTTCAGCATGAAGAACTGAAAGTGGTGCCTGGCACATGACAAAAGTTAGCTATTACTAATGTCCCCATTTAAGAGGTGAGGAAATAGGAGGTGACTTGCTTGCCCTCACAGCCAGGAAGAGGCAGGATTGGAATCCAGGTCCAGAAGACATCAAAAACCCCTTAGTCTCAACACAGTGCACCATATTCTTTAGCACCAAGTGGGCTGCAGTGGTCAAGTGGGAAAGGATTATCTAAGGACAATAGAAAAAAAAAAGTTTTACGTTGATTTTATTAATACTTGGGTTCACACACACCAAAAAAGCCCTATCAAAACCAGGCTATAGTTCTCAAAAACAAATCTAGCAAGTACTGCATCAAGTTATATAAAATTAACTGGTGTGTGTGTTAGTGGCAAACAGACTTAAATTGAACTTTTGTTGTATCGTACCAGCAGTTTTTCTATGTATAGAAATAGAATATTTTCTATCACTGTAAACAGAAATCTGTTCCCCAGTAGGAAAACTAATGTAAGAACAGAACGAAATAAAATATATGGCACTTTACCCAAGAACTAGAATTCCTTAGGGAAAATTGAAGTTATTGGAATTTGTTACAATGGTACATGAAGGAGCAACATGTCCTGGTACATAGCCCAGCGGTGATGGATTTCAGTGAGGTTTGGCAAGAAAGCCACAGCATTAGCAAATATTTACTTGCCATTTCTGTGTACAGAGAAAGTACTCTCCATGCTGCCAGGAGGTAAAAAGAAATAAAGGACTTCAAGGGCTTACTGACCCTTCATGAGCAAAGATAGTCAATGTGAAACAATTTCAGTACAATGCAAGGCATCATATAATTAAGCTCTACCATTTTTATTGCAAGAAGCAAGGGCTATAGGAATTTAGAAAAAGGAATTCAAGGGCCGGCCTGTGGCTCACTTGGGAGAGTGCAGTGCTGATAACACCAAGGCCACGGGTTCGGATCCTATATAGGGATGGCCGGTTCGCTCACTGGCTGAGCATGGTGCTGACAACACCAAGCCAAGGGTTGAGATCCCCTTACCGGTCATCTTTAAAAAAAAAAAAAAGAAAGAAAAAGGAATTCAAATTTTATAGTAGCACCTAAGAACATGACCACGTAAGTGCCATAGCGATTTGAGAATAACCTCTCACCTCTTCCTAGCTCAGAGAGCTTTTGGTTTTTTATATATTGTTTCGAAATCCTCAGATTATTTCTGTCTCCCAAATGAAGCAAGTGACTTGGAACTAGTAAATGATGGCTAAGAGCTATACTGACAACTGTGTCTACACTGAAAGCGCCTTGCGGCCTCAACACTTACAGCCTGGACCCCGGGCTTGGTGGCCAAAGCTTCTTGCAGTGTCCCCCTCCACTTCCTCTCACTTCCATGTCCCCTCTCCTACCTGCAGCCCGTTGTCACCTCTGACACCTGTGGTAGCCTTCCCACCCTCTTTTCCAGATCTTGCCCACCCTGGAGGTCCTCCTTTTTGTGAAATCTTCCCCATTTGGACAGTATGTTCCTTCTCAGACTTTCCCAAAACTCCCAGCTCCCGACTGTTGTCCAACTGTTTTACCATCCTTAGTTATTTCCTCTACAAGACTGTGAGTCCCCCGAGGGGTGGCAAGTCCACCCTGACCCCTCTTTATTCCCAAGATGTTGTCCATACCTCGGCATGTAGGCACCCTGGATGGCCAGGACACTGTTAAAAGTGCCTTTCACTTAAGATCTTATGATTCCAAGGCTAAAATGGTGTTTCTTCAGAAATAAATACCATCATCAGGAGAAGCAAGTTTAGGGCCAGTTTTGCCACCACCTTCCTCCTGTAATCCCAGATATGTAATTGGGGGCAAGTTATTTCTCTCTCTGGGCCTTTCCCCCCTCATCTATGAAAGGTGGGCATTGGCCATGGCCCCTCTTGGTGGTCTGGATGATTCTGGTAAGTTGGTGCTTGTAACGGTTGTGATCTCTGTCCTCGGTGTTTCTCCCTTACTGGCCCAGCCAGGAAGCACCGCATGGGACTCCATTATGGGCTGTGCATTCCTGCAAGCCCCCGTGTCAGTGTGGCCAGTCTGCCTGCTGTTCTGTAACATTATACAAATGTAATCATGCCAATGGACAGCATCCAGAGTTGCAGTTATTTTGGGATGTGCAGGAGCCTGTGGGAAAATGCTGGAACATGTCTTAGTCACTCGGGCAAATACCTTTCTTTCCATGTTCCAGCTTGTTTTGAACTTTCAAGCGGCTCAAATAAAGCTCAAGCAGGCGCACACACCCTTTGTGATTCGCTGCGCCCTTCCGGAGCAGCTCTCCTGATCTCCCGGCCGGTGCCACCACATCCTCTGGGATCAGAAAAGTTTGAGCACAGAGGGGTGAGAGCAGGGCTGGGTTAAGCCCTTGGAGGCCCCAGGTATGGAAAAAATGTGTGGTGCCTCCCTTGATACGTAATTCAAAATAAAAACAATAGTAATCCACAAAAGTGTAAGGAAGATCTGAATTTACCATGTTATACTTTGTTGCTTCTTAAAAAATTAAAAATTAAATCCTCCAGTGTGTGTGTGTTTGGGCATGTCCCTGCTTTCCTGGAACTCTAAGCTATGATCCAGCTCTGCCCAGTAAGAACCAGTGGAGACCAGGAAGAGCTGTCTCAGTTCCAGGGGAGCAGGCTGAGCACAGCAGGAAGGGACAGGACCACAGGAGAGAACAGAAGCCAGCTGTGTGCCCGTCCTGCACACAGTGACCTGGGAGGCAGCCATAGGTCCTCAGGAAGGGGTCCTCCCAAGACACATGGGGCCAGGGTCCCAGGTGGGACTGGAAGCCAGCTTGAGGATGTGTAGGTGGAAAGGGTTAGAAAAAGCATTCCAAGTAGAAGGGGCCTTCTAGAACATTCCTTTGCCTGTTCGTTGCCTGCTCTAGCCAGAGCTTTGACCTGACGACTTGGCCCGTGGAGGCTGCACCTTCTGCACAGCCCTGTTGCTGAGCAAGGTGGTCTCCTCCTGTCTGAAGAGAGATCCTACCGCCAGCCCTCCCTCATTCTCTTCCATGTCTCCCTTTCTCTCAACTGTCTTTTTCCTTCTCTTTAGTCCACAAAAAGTGCAAACCAAAAAGAAACA